GGGTATCCGAACTGGACAGAGATGGCTGTCATCTCTTTCAGGTCATCATTGCATTTTACGGTAGCCCCTGTCTCCCCACTGAAAGAGCCGCAGGAGCCGAAGGCAAAAATGGCAAAGAGCTGGAAGAGAAAAGCAAAAGGTTTTGAAGTCGGGGGACTCCAGCTGGTGACAGTGAACTAGCAACAGGCGCTAGCAGGTCTTCTGGGCTCATTGCGCCTTCTGAAATTTACAAGATAGCCCCGGTGACCACAGGTAAATAGTCCTCAGTTTAGTTGGGGCAACACAATATAACAATGGCGCATCCACACATCATAATCAAAGCAACATCCTCAGCACTTGCAATGTAGTGCCATGGTCATATGACATCCCTGTCACCTTGTGCAAGGACCCAGCAGAAAACCCAGTCAGCAAGGTCTTTTCCTTGAGTGATAACGTTTGTAACAAGAAATCAGAACAGGCCGACACAAGCAGAACATGGAGAAACAGAACCCAGGGCTCCAGATCACCCCTGTCTCCCAAGCAACCACTCTTAGAGCACTTCCCTGAGCAGCAGGGAAAGGGGAGGAAGAAGCAGAGCTGGAGTCAATCTCTTCCTCACAGAAGACCAGGCAGTGCTGTGACCCAGAGAGAGACGGAAGCCGTCTCCGTAGTCTATTTTGGCTACGGCCGAGTAAGGGAGCCAGTCAGTGCCAACTGGGATAGAGGTTTTGTGATATGGAACTGGAGTGAGACCACCAGTGGAGAGTCATCACCAGAGCTCTCACTCACTGCTCTCCTGACCGGGAGCTGGCCAAGCTGGCAGCCTAGCAGTGAAAGTTCTCTAGATCCCAGCAATCCTCTGAGCCAGCCTCTCTTCCCAGTTCGGTTGGTTGGGATTCTGCTTGCTATGTTGCATACAAACTAAGCACATACCTTCCTCAGAGAGAGCCAGACACTTTTGCTGGGACAAAGAGGTGCGATCAGAGACTACAACCTCTCTCCGGATGCACGTTCCCCGTCACTGGTATGTGCCCCCAGACTGGTGCTCTGACTTCAGCAGAGCTACACCAGTTTACAGCAACTGTGGGGCTGGCCCATTGATTCCTACTGAAGGCAGAGATAAGGCCCAGAGCAGGGAAGTGACTTGCCCAGGGGCACAAAGGCAGGTAATAGCAGTGCTGGGAATAGAACCCCAGTGTCTTAACTCACTGACCCTGCTCTAACAGACACCACCACCTCCCATCTGCACCAGCCAGGGAAGGGAACAACAGCACTGCTAGGATGACTCCCATAACTCTCCTTTCTAACAAGGCCTTTTGTAGGTTCTGGGGCTGAGGGGGGTCAGCACAGGAAGATACCCTAACGGACAACATGCAAGGTTGGCAGAGGTATTTACACAGGATCCATGTCTGCTTTGCACCACACCCACCTCCAACTACTAGCAGCTAAGAAACCAGTAGGTAAGGGCAGAGAATAGCTGCAGAGACTGACACAGGCATCATGGCTTAAAGACAACAAGAGCTGTCCCAGTGCTGGAGACAATGGGGCCGATGCCTCCCCCTGGGGCACACTATGGCACCCGGGGCTCTGCTCACAAAGGATACACTGAGCCGCACGGGCAGACAGCCCCCACTGACTGCAGCACGGCACCAGGACACCTGAGCACACAAGGCAGTGAGCACGTCGCTGGCTCATTAAGCTTCCCCATTCCAGAGACCTGTCACCCCAGCGCTTCCTGTCGGGGCTCCATGGGGCCTAATCCCCACCACCGAACAGCTGACAGCACTAGTAACCGTCCAGCGCAGCTGATAGATAGCCCATGCTCTCAGGGATTCCTCCTCCCTGCTGAGCTCCTCTGTTCCATCCCTGCCCATCTGTGCCAGCAACACAGGCTGGCCAGGTGCCATACCAGAGATCTCTTCTTACTGGCTCCCTTCCCCACATCGCTCACTAACCCCTGATGAGCTGGCCAGCTTGGGTGCACTCCGTGAGGCTCTCTGCCCTCACTTGGCAGAGGGAGGTGCACAATGGATGGGGGTGTGTGGAAGGGAACTGCCACAGGCAGATAAGGGACCTGGATGGTGTCCCACGAGACCTAGAGCTGCACACTCTTCTTCCCCGCCTCTGCCCCATTGGCCTCAGTGGGGATTACCTGCCCATGTGGATGGGTGAGCAGGGTCCTTGGTATCTTTGGAAGAATTTTGCAGCAGGGCCACCTGTCCCCCTAAAGCCCAGAATCAGCAGTTCAGAAACCTCCCAAAGAAGCTGGTGTTTCCAGAACGGCTGATGCAGAGACATTTGGGCAGGTGGCGTGGGCAGAAGCGGAGACTTCATTAAAAGAAAAATCTGTGTTTTCACAAGAACCTCAAACTTCCTGCCGCATTGCAAAATGCAGCCCAATACCTGAATGTCTCTCTCAGAACTGTGAAGCTGAGGGCCTGAGCCCCCAGTAGGATCTTTTTCCTTTGAAGCAACTTTTAATTCACTTTCCGGCGACTGATGATGCTCAGGGGCCTTTATGCCTCTAAACCAAAATCAGTTTTCAATTACACGACCAATAAACTGATGTCTTGTTTTCTTTGCCTTCCCCCCCTGTAATGAGAGTGTAATTCATCCATGCAGGAAATGATTATGAGTCTCAAATGACATTTCCTGTTCTTGGTTCTGAGTTGAATTTCTCTTTCTCTTCCACTGGCGGGGGGGATGAATGTGGCTTCTGAATAGTTTTCTGGTAACTCATGTAGAAACACTCAGCTCTGGTTAAGTTCATGCACCCTGAACTCTGGCTCCCACAAGCGACAGGAAGAAAAAACAACTCTCTGTTTGCGTGTGTACAAGAGAGAGAATGAAAATGTAGGCTGAATAGACTGAGGGGTTCCCACTTCATCTATAAAGGACTGATCTATGTAACCAAATCCTGAACAGAACAGGCAGAAAATCACAGCAGTCAGGGGCAGACGTCATCTTATGTCGCCTCGTCCATTCTCAGCCAGCGTGGGACTGTTCTGTACTGTATATTCCCAAGTACTTTGCCCAGCATATTTCTCCCACCATTTAACTTAAGACTCTATGCCATAAAGAGCTCTGACCCAGATGCTCCAAGGTATTTAGGTTACTAACTTCCACTGACAGTGTAAATACCTTTGAGGATCTTTGCCTTTGTTACCCTGGTTTTCCTGCATTCAGCTTAAGTTTCTTTGTTCAGTGTCCCTCCTAGTTATGTCCCTTCGAACTGCCCTGTATCATTTCTTTCCCTCCCCAGGATTTATACCCTTTTGCTACTATTGGTTGAAGGGCCTGATCCTGCAGCATGCTGAAGCACTTTCCATTCCAATGGGTACTCAGCACCTCTCAGGTCTGACTAAGCGAGAACCGAGGCTGTTTGTGAGACCATCCACTGATTTTGGATGCCTCTCTTTTGGGGTGTTTGACTTGGGATATGTTGAATTTTCAGAGGTGCTGTGCACCAGCAGCTCCCATTGACTTTAGTCAGGACTGCAGACACTCAGCACCTCTGAAAGTCCGGCTCCCAGTGTCTCAAGTTAGGCTCCCAAAAACAGAGGGATCCAAAACCAGAGCTACTTTGGGAAGGTGTCAGCCTAGAGGTGTGCACCCAAAGTAAACAAAGTCACAGCCAGCTTCTCAGGCTGTGTGGGTGAGGATGTGGGGCAGGATAAGCAATGTGTATCTATTCCTAGCCCTGCCAGTGACCTTGTGCAAATCACCTCCCCTGTCTGCTTCACTCTCCCAGCTGTAAAACAGGGGCCATGACACTCCCCTACCTTTGTGACATGATTTCTGGATGAAGAGTGCTACAGAGGAGCTGAATGCTGCATACATGGCACACCATACACCAAGTACAGGCTCCCTGGATCCTGGCAGATCAAGAGTGTGACCTGCACACCACGAACACATGCTGAACAGTTCCGTCACCACATGGAGGCATGAAACAAATGCAGCACCCTTGATGTGCCATGAGATATGCTAGCTAGTGCTGCGGTTCCTCATTCAGACAGAAGGCCTTTTAAAGTTACCTTTGCAAACATAAAGAAAAGGAGTACTTGTGGCACCTTAGAGACTAACCAATTTATTTTCATAATTGGTGTTATTCAGAACACCAACGCTACATTCTTCTATGGCCTGTTTCATTCACAGTGGCCTTGGCGAAACACTGCTGAGAAGGGGGACGGGTATCTTCGTTTTATGGATGGGTATGCTGAGGCTCAGGGGGGTGAAATGACTTGCTCAGGGTCCCATGAGAGTCAGTAGGAATAGAACCTAAAGGAGTCCTGGCTCCCAGCATCCTGCCCTAGACAGGCAGAGTCAGTACATGTAAAGCTCTTTGGACAATGCACACAGGCCGAGTGGAGACTGACTCCGACTATCAAACAATGGCAACTTTGCCCTGGGAACACACTTCCAACAGTGCGGTAGCAGACAACTCCAGCTATTACCACCTGATTCAGTGCTCAGAAGGGGGCAGAAGGCTGTTCTACAACAGATCTGTTCTGTACAACAGATCAGATCTGACACTCAAGCAGTCTGAAGGTTTCCCACACACTCAAGCAGTCTGAAGGTTTCCCACACACTCAAGCCCCAAGTACTGGGGTCCAAATAAGTGCAGGACTCCAGTCTCTCCCGCGGGAGGCGGAAGAGGAGAGTTCAGCGAGCTCAGGGACCCACCGAGGCCTGGTATGTGCAGCATCAGAGCTCTGGAAAGGTTAAACCACGGCAGCCAGCTTTCCCCCCCTCTCCCCCGAGTGAAACGTGAGCAGGGCTAAGGCCAGTTCCCATACCCCTCCCCATAAACGGAGACCTTCCTTGCACACAGAGGGGCTGCCTGGGAGGGGCACCGCATGCCCAGCTCCTTCCCTCCTCTAACCCTACCCCATACCCCACTCACCAAGAACTCGCCCCCAGAAAGAGCCGCCCCCCCGCAGCCAGCCAGCCGGCGCTGCCTTGCTTTGCAGGAACGTCACTCACTGGTACCGAAATAGAAAGAGCCTCTGTAGCAAACTCACCCACTGCAGCACCTTAACGAAGCCCAGGGGCTCCTCCAGGCGGCCCCAGCGCAGCCCGAAGAGCCGCCGGCCCTGCAGGGGAGAGACAAGGGCGGGGAGCTAGGGTCAGCCAAGCCCGGAGGAGCCGGGGGAGCGCAGAGAAGGGGCAGGAGAGGGAGAGGGCGGTACCTGCTGCCCGGGCTCCTTGTGGCCGGCCGCGGCGGTGGGCTCGGACATGTCCAGGCTGCGGGCAGGGCCGGCCGCCGTGTGCGCCGCCGGGCGGAGCGCGCACCCTTGCCGGGCGGTGGGCTGCGGGGAGCAGGGCTGGGGGGCAGCCCAGGCGCGGAGGGGGTTGTCGGGGGGGCGCTGCTCCGGGGCCGCCGCCGGCTGCTGCCGCCGCCGCTGCCTTCTGCGCTCAGCTCTGGCGGCCGGACGAACCCGCGATTCAAACTTCTGTCAAACTCGCAGCGAAACTTCGCGGAGTCACGTGGGGACCAAAACCCAGCCCCGCCTGCCCCTCCGCCCCCTGCCCGCGGCACTGCCGGAGAGCCTGGGCCAGGGCCAGGGCCAGGGCCAGACTGGGGCTGCCTCTCTCGCCCGCCAGGGCCCGCGGGGGGACCTCGCCCTGCATCCCCCGCGATGAAAACCAGGGACAGGCACGAACCCATGGGCTAGGATGAACCGTTTTCTCTACTGCACAATTAACTGATTAGGGAATTTAGCGGAGACTAGACCCCAGCAGCGCCATGGGTCTAGCCCTACCCACCCCTCCTGGGGGCTGGCCACTAAAGCAAACACATAGTCAAGTTTCCCCACCGCCCCCAGGCAGTGTGCAGGAGCATTTGTCACCTCCAAGCCCCTTGTGCACCCCTGTGCTGGGGCACAGCCATTCTCGGCTAACACATACCAGCTACCAGCGCTTTCCCCCGTTCCTGTATCGCTCATCTCTCCGCCCGCTCCGTGCCCGCCACTGCAGTCGGAGCCCTTCGAAGTTCCGGGGAGGGTCTCCAGTGCTCCGCCACTGTTCACGGTCAGGAGCCCTTCCTGTTTAAAGGACAATTCTTCCAAATGCCCTAAAAGCTGCATGCTTACTGGCATTGCCTTGTAACTTGGTGTGCTTCAAGGGACCGCAGGGTAGAACCACTGTGCCAAAACTGGGGCCTTGAGAATGGGGTTCCCAAGATACAGCACCCCCCTACACAAAAGTATTTCTTAAGGTTGACACATTCTGCCATTTTTTTGTTTTTTTGCTCAGACCTGGGGCTCAAAACATGTTTCTGATCATGCCCCAAAATGATCTCAGGACCAACATTCATCCCAGCTAGTGCATGGCATTCACAGCCCCTTTGGGGAAGCAATATTGAAAACAATATTTAAAAAAGGGGTTAAACTCACCAGATAGGCATGAGCCTAACACTCACATGCTGAACAGATTACAGTGCACACATGAAGAAAGACTAGCCAAGAGAGCTGCTAGCCTTCATATAGCCTCAGGGAGTGTGGCCACTGAAAACTGACCAACATGCAGGCACTTTAAGTTTGAAACCTACTCTTATCAGAAATCTGAGAATGAAGTGTAAACATTTTGCTAAAATTGACATCTCTCCAGGTTTGTTACTTTGTTTTTTAATCATTATTATTGTTTTGGGGAAATGTAATCTCAGCAGATCAGATAATTCAGAAGGCATTCAAACTATGTTTGAAAAGGAAATGTATTATATATGTGAATGGTTGGTGGAGGGAAGCGGGAACTAGAGGCAGAAGAGTGGGTGGGAAAAGGGGTTGGGGGTTGCAGGAAGAGAGAGGGATAAATGGGAATGGGCAGGAGGAGCGAAGAATGGGGGAAGGAAGGAGGAAGGGATAGTAAAGAAGAAACACGCCACTTTCCTCTCATGGGCTTAAAATTACTGTAACCACCACATAATAAAACTCTCAAGAATTTAGGCTATAGACCACATCTGTGATTTCCCTCAGCAACTATACACTGCAAACATTTTAAAGGATGATTATTATCCCCAATGCACTATAACAGTGTACACATATGGGAGTGGGACAGAGCACTTAGGACTCATACGGCAACTATGGCCTACTGGAGAGACCACTGGACTGGGATTATTCCTGTCACTTCACCTCTCTGTTCCTCAGTTTCCTCATCTGTAAAATAGGGATAATGGTGTAAAATGCTTTCAGATCTACTGATGAAAAGTTCTATATAAGAGCTAGGTATAATTATTACCTAGCCACAGAAGCATACCAACTACAAACCTACCTGATAACTACGACTACCTAAATGACCACAAATTCCTACAACAAACACTTCTCTTTCTATTAAAAAAAAACAAAACTAGGAAATTCACTGACAAACATAATTAATACAGAGTTCAGATTGCTCTGTAGGCCTTCCAGAACATACAGTTCAGCAAAACTCAAACCTCTCAAAACCAGTAACGCAAGAATAAAGGTATTTGAAGCATAAACTTCTGAAAACCAGGAAATACAGGCTTTGAGGCATGTGTCCACACAACCTTAATGCTACCCTCCTTGAGCGATGACCAGTATGTCCATAACAGCCATATTTGTACTCTGCCTTTGCAGACAGTGCATATCATTCAGGGAATAAGGGCACATGACAGCTGTAGCACAGAGTCAAGCACCTTCTCTTTGCTAAGGCAAAACTTGAGTTTATGTGAGCAGTGCGGATCAGGAGCTACCTACACCCTGTTCTACACTCAAACGCCAAGCCTACTCCCCAGAAACAACCCCATACTTGTTAAGTTTTACAGCCCCTTCGCTTCCTTTTGCAATCCATTCACCTGTACTCCCAGGAGTCCATCTAACATTGTATTTTCAGTTATCCATCATTAAACCCACAGACCACTCTCATATTCCTCCTCTCTGCTGACAATCCCATGGCAAGAAGACCCTTGTGCACTGCTACTGACATAACCTACAGAATTGCGTGCTGACATGAGGCATACTGGATCCCTTAAGGCAGTGGTTCTCAACCAGGGGTATGCGGCTCCCTAGGGGGCTATGAGCAGGTTTCAGGGGGCCTGCCAAGCAGGGCCAGCATTAGATTTGCTGGGGGCCAGCGCAGAAAGCTGAAGGCCCATCACATGGCCCTGAAGCCCGGGGCCCTGAGCCCTGCCACCCAGGGCTGAATCTGAAGCCTGATCAATGTAGCTTCACGGGGCCCCATGTGGCATGGGGCCTGGGCAGTTGCCCTGCTTGCTATCCCCTAATGCTGGCACTGGCTTTTATATGCAGAAAACCTGTTGTTCTGGCAGAGGTGGGCCGTGGAGTTTTTATAGTTTGTTGGCAGAGCCTCAGAGACAAAAAAGGTTGAGAACCTCTGCCTTAAGGTACACATGCGCCTCTTTCCTTTTGTCACACACTTGAGGGTGGGAGGAGCTTAGCCCCCCATAGAGGCCTCCCTGATCTCCTCATATCACAATCAGAGCTCAGTCAAGTTGCTCCAACTAATGCTTCCACCATTCAGTACAGCTACACTTCAAACAAGGAATGCAGCTGTAGGGCAAACAGGTAATTCCCAGCGGCTTTTGCCAGCTCCAAGGGGGCAGAGTTAAGGTTATGTTGGTGTGTACCTCAACTCTTCATTTCCTGGGTTTCAGAGGGTTGAGTGTCACTGAACTTGACATTCTGAAACTCAGCAACCTGAATGTGATGCTCTGTACCTCGGGGGGAACACCCTGCACCCCCATGTTCATCCTTATGATTATGTGGTATCCAATGCAAAGTTTGTCATGTCAGGTGTCTTTAGAAGGCTCATGATGCACTGAGCATTGTTGTTATAGTAATGTTATAGGTTGTAATTTCATGTATATAGTTATGAGGCTGAAAATGTGTCCTCATGGCTTAAAACAAGCCCGGGCAAAACTCTCCAGGAGCAGAGGGGCAGTTCACACATCATCAGGTCATGTATGGGACAAACCCTGCCCAGCCTCACAGGAACAAAGGACACTGGCCTAGACAGCAACAAAGGATCTGTTGGACTCTCGATTGAGCCACCCCCCTTCCCTTGGTCAGTTTAGGACTATGATGAGGTAATGCTCACCTGACTCCAAGGGCGGGGGGGAAGCCCAGAGGGAAGAAAGAACGCGATAAAAGGGAGAGACGTTTGCCATGCTCTTCCTCTCTCTCTCTCTTCCACCTACATCTACAGACATCACCACCAAGCGAATGAAGTGCTGAGAGAAAGCCAGCCTGTGGTGAGAAGCATCTAAGTTTGTAAGGGCACTGAAAGTGTTAAGATCAGCTTAGAATGCGTTTTGCTTTTATTTCATTTGACCAAATCTGACTTCTTGTGCTTTGACTTATAATCACTTAAAATCTAGCTTTTGTAGTTAATAAATGTGTTTGTTTATTCTACCTGAAGCACTGCATTTGGTCTAAAGCACATCAGAGACTCCCCTTGGGATAACAAGTCTGGTATGTATCAGTTTCTTTGTTATACTGACTAACTCATATAAGCTTGCAGTGTCCAGCAGGCATAACTGGACACTGCAAGACGGAGGTTCCTAGGGTTGGGATGGGAGATAATGGCTAATGTCATTTGATTGCACAATCCAAGCAGTGGCTGGCCAAAACTGCTCACTCACATAGCTGGGAGCAGCTTACATGCTAGAGGCTGGTTTCAGAGTAACAGCCGTGTTAGTCTGTATTCGCAAAAAGAAAAGGAGTACTTGTGGCACCTTAGAGACTAACCATTTTATTTGAGCATAAGCAATTTTAGCTCACGAAAGCTTATGCTCAAATAAATTGGTTAGTCTCTAAGGTGCCACAAGCACTCCTTTTCTTTATGCTAGAGGCTGTGCATGACCAGCCCAGGAGTGGGGGTTTTCACAGCAGAGCAGGGTAAGGCTGGCTCCCAGAGTCGAGGATTGGAGTGACCTAGCAGATCACTGGTCCAGATAACACCAGGAGAACATCTCACTGAACTCTGTGTTAAAGTTTTTTGTCAGTGAATTAACAAATGAACCCTCTTGTCTATATATTCTTGCCTCCCTGAGTGGGGTCAGGACCATTATTATCCCTGTTTTTACACATGAGGAAACTGAGACAGGAAGGAGGAAATGACTTGCCCAACATCACTCAGCAAATCTGTACAGCCAAGAACAGTCAGGTGCCCAGCCTCTTCCATACTAGGACCCATGTTACCACAGAAAATATTTTCAAGGCACTCCTCCCATTTATCCATAAAGAAAGCATGGATGGGTGTGATCCCATCAAACCTGTTTGTGAGCTCCTGGTTAATAACCCATTCAGCACCCCTAGCTCTGCTGCTTCCCAGGTCCCTGATTTAACCACTATACCTTGCTTTCTTTATCCCTAATTTCCCAGTTCCCCGATTTATGCTGGCGATCCGACTGTCCTCTACATATGAATATGCTGCACAGGGGATTAGAACCTCATGGAGTTTTGCCAGCCTTGTTTCTCTGATGGACTGTTCTCCTCTCCCATGGAATGACAGGGGGTTGCCCCCTCTAATGGCAAGTCATTATGCCCCAGTTCATTGAACACCAGGTTTCTTCTGTGCCAGCAGAGAATCCCATAGCCTGCAGTCCCTACTGAGCCTACCTTGGCACTGCTGGGGTGGTGGTTCCCTCTTGGCCATTCTTCTCCCCAATGTAGAGGCTTTGTTGTCTCCCAGTGTGGTGGATCTGAACTTGTTTCCTCACTAGTAACAGATCTCGCTGATAGGCACAGTCAGACCAGAGCTGGTCTGAGAAAGAGAAACAGATGAGAATCAAGGACTGATGCTAGTGCTTGTGCAGACCCAGCAACAGGAAGCTACGCTACCATGGGGTGGGAAATGGAGGTGGAGGTGGAAAAGGGTGGAGGCTAGTAGTGGTTTCTTTATGTG